TGCCTTTTTCAGAGGAGGAAAAAGTGCTTTCCTTCCATTGCTTCTCTGCTGAGTCCCAGCTATCAAGTTGTGTCATTGCAGCATGCTAGCCTATCATCTGAACATTGATATGGGGTCAGTGTTTTGGGAAGGCGAGGCAGGCATCCTCTCTGACTCGCTGATACGTATCCAGTGGATGCCTGGAATCTTCTGGTGAAACACTTTGAATGGGGATTGTTGGGTGGTTTATAGTATTTGGCAAATAAACTGCTTAGGAGCTGTCCTTTGGGGAAAGAAAAGCCTTGTGGCATGTTGATTTGATTTTTTTATTCTTTTCCCTCCCTAGAATGTCTGAGTTAATTGAGAAGGAAACTGAAGAGTACCGCAAGGGGGATCCAGACCCGTTTGATGACAGACACCCTGGTAAGGCCTGGTGAACACAGTGCCTTGTGTGTGACCCCTCTCTGTTTCAGGATAAAATTAGTCATTCATATATTTAAAATATACATACACAAATAACCTGAAGTTTCCCCCTGCTGGTCAAGTCCTCACATCACTACTTAGCTTATTAATCTTGGTTTACTGTTTTGTGACTGGGCATTTCTGATAGATCTATCCTTCAGGCAGCTTTTCTGGACTTAGGGACTAATTTGGAGGCACCTTTCTTGGACATTGTCTATACTACAAGCATGGCAGTGTGATTGATATGTTGGCATAGTCCCATAGCATAGATGAGCACTACAGCAATGTCAGGAGTTGTTCCATCACTGTGGGTACGTCTAGACTACATGCCTCTGGCGACAGAGGCATGTAGATTAGGCTACCCGACAGAGTAAAATGAAGCGGCGATTTAAATAATCGCCGCTTCATTTAAATTTACATGGCTGCCGCGTTGAGCCGACAAACAGCTGATCAGCTGTTTGTCGGCTCAACGCGGCAGCCATGTAAATTTAAATGAAGCGGAGATTATTTAAATCGCCGCTTCATTTTACTCTGTCGGGTAGCCTAATCTACATGCCTCTGTCGCCAGAGGCATGTAGTCTAGACGTACCCTGTAAGAACACCTGAGCCATGGTAACTAGGTTGGTGGAAATATTCTTCCATTGGCCTAGCTGTGCCTACACTGAGGGTTAGGCTGGCATAGCTGTGGTGCACAGTAATGTGTATTTTTCACATGCCAAGTGCCAGAGCTGATGAGAAGAGAACAGTGGATATACGGGGTCAGACCAGTGGTTCATGTAGTCCTGCTTCTTGTCTTCAGGCAGTGGCCAATGCCAGGTGCATCAGAGGGGGTGAACAGAATGTGGCCCCTGGCTAGCCTTGATTTGGCTCACGGGGAGCTGGTGCTTGTGCTCCAGCCATGCGGCGGGGGGCTGGAAGGGGAGCGGGATGGTGTGCCAAGGCTTGGAGACCCGCTGCGGGGCTGGTGTTGGCTTCTCCCTCCCTGCAGCGTGGTCAATCTTGAGTCTCATGGACCAGATCAAGGCAAGCCAGCCCATGTGCCATAGGTTCCCCATTCCTGAAGCGATCCATCTCTTGTCGCCCATTCCCAGCTTCTGGCAAACAGAGGCTAGGGATACTTCAGAGCATGGTTTTTCTTTCCTGCCTATCCTGGCTAATAGCCATAGATGGATCTGTCCTCCATGAACTTATCGAGTTCTTTTTTTGAACCCTGTTATAGTCTTAGCCTTCACCACAGCCTCTGGCAAGGACTCTCTGTTGTGTGAAGAAATACTTTTGTTTGTTTGAAACCTGCTGCCTCGTAGAAGTTGAACTGCTCTGGTTCAGCAACATCTGTGGTCCTGTCTGGGGGTGAGGAGCCTAGCGATCTGCTGACAGATCTCCTTCCTTCAGGACCAGTCGGATCCCAAGGGTGCCAGATCAGAAAGGCCCAACCTGTAATTACATTGGGTGACCTCTAGTTCTTGTGTTATGGGAGAGAGTATCTAACGCTTTTCTTTATTTATTGTTTTTTGCACATCCGTCATGATTTTCTACACCTCTATCATGTTCCTCCTTGGTTGGGATTTTTCAGCTTGGAACAGAGACAGTCTCCTCTCATATGGAAGATGTTTTAAATGTAAACCTCACCTGGGTCTCTGGATTTCCAGTTTGGAAGAGGGGAGAGATTACAGTCTGATCTCATAACCCTCTAGTGGCTGGACATAGAATAGCACTGGAGTCATAGAGAATAGGTCTGTCAGTATTTGAAGACTGCAAAAATGGCTCCTAATGGCATTGAGTGAAAATCCTTTACACTTGTCTGGCCTGGAGATACTGTTTTAGGGAGGGGGAACTCTTGGGGACTGGGAGTGTGGAAGGAAAAATATCTCAACTGCCACATGTCTTAATTCCCATGATTTCTCTTGTGCAAGATTGATCCTGCTAATTGGGGTATCCCACAGCCAATTTTGCTGTGGCATGACCGTGGTTTTACACTTCAGTGTTGGCCATGAAGCTTAGAGCTCATTAGACATGCCATTTAGAGAGGTCAAGTTTCCCACCCGACTATCTTCCTTTCTCTGCTCCTCCATTCTTTTTTATTGTAATACTTTGTTGCTTTAGCTAAGGAGGTTTGAATGACTAGCTCAGCTCCTTCTTTGTGCTTTGCTAGGTCGAGCAGATCCAGAGTGTATGTTGGGCCATCTACTGAGAATACTTTTCAAGAATGACGACTTCATGAATGCGGTAGGTTTGCCCTTTGTATTTATTAACAGAATTATAATTGTCAAGTGATGACACTTCCCTGTTTCCCATGTTGTTTGTCGTTATCTGCCCTGGGTTGGTTAGCCTCAGTGCCTGTGGTTTTTGTTTTTAGTCCAGTCCACACTGGAGTTTTTCTACTGTTAGGAATATTTCTTTCAAACACTGGTTTTAAAACAGGGTTAAATGTGATTTGCCTTTCTCTATTAAAATGGAGGAAAGGAAGTTTTCTAAATGTAAATCATCATGCCTCTGGTATAGGCATTGTAGCTTTACAGATCAGTTCAGGGTGGGCAGTGTAGAAGAGAGAATTTAATTTGGCTGAGAAAAAATAAGGTGGTAGGACAGCACACCTCTTCTCTGAAACATGAGAGGGGAAAAGTCACTAGGCAGTTGACTGTGCGCTCTCTGAAGCCATGTCTATGCTATCGGTTATGATGGCATAACCGGCGTTGCTCAGAAGTGTGAGTAGACGACCTTCCTGAGTGATATAAGTTACACCGAAACGAGCGCTGTCCACCCCAACATTTATGTTGGCAGGAGAACTTTTCCTGTCAGCTGAGAGTCTTTACCAGACATGCTGCAGCGGTGCTGTTGCAGCATTGTGTGTGTGGATAAGCCCTAAAGTGTGGGTCAAGTGATTACACACTGACACCACTACCCGTGTCTTCCCCTTTGCTCCCATGACAAGTGATTACACACTGACACCACTACCCGAGTCTTCCCCTTTGCTCCCATGTTTTGTCAATCTGAGGGCATGATTTCACTGTGCTGCCCTGTTTTGGGCCAGAGTTACTCCTGTTTTTGACCTTCTTCCCTCAGCTGGTGAATGCTTATGTGATGACAAGCAGGGAATCCCCATTAAATACAGCTGCCTGCCGACTTCTTCTAGACATCATGCCTGGACTGGAAACTGCTGTTGTCTTTCAGGAAAAGGTACCATGTATAGCAAGACTGTTTATAAAAATTTGAGGTATTCAGCATTTTAGGAGCGCCGACGCTAGTTTTGAAAAAATCCATACAGATGGAAATCTAAAATGCTATTTCTGGGACATAATCTCCACTAAATTTTATTTTAATGTCTAGTTTTAAAAGGACACTTCAATAGTTGTAGTCTCGTTAAGCTAAACTAACGAAACCCTCAGGTACTTCCAGGCTGCTAATTTGTGCTGAAGGCCGATTTGCATACTCCTATAGTAGAGGAACAGGAACCAAAAAGTTATCTGTTTTGGGAACTCTTTGCAACCATAGTGTTCTGAATATACTTTCAAGGGACATCAGGAAGATGCAGCAGTGTGCTAGCAATCAGCCCATTTGACACTCTAGTAAGGATATTAAGAGGCGAGTAATTGGGTAATCTTGTTTTGAAAATTGCTGTGCCACCTTGTGGATCTGTGGATTCCTGTGTGATTGAATGCTGGGAAAGACCACATTGAGAGTGCCACATTCAAGGCAGAGTGCAAGAAATAGAGTAGACAATCCCCCCCAACTAGTGGTTATTTTATAATTAGATCCACCAATTCGGTACCACACAACTTCTGTATCACCACATGCAAGTGCTAGATCCGTGGGTTCTCAAAGGGTGGAGCACCCTTGGAAAAAAATTGGTGGGTGTTTAGCACCCTCTGGCAGCCAGCTCCTCTCCACCCCATAGCATTTTCCACCTGCAGGTAGCCCTGTTGATCAGCTTCTCCCAGCACTTCTCACCTCCTGCAGATCAGCTGTTCTACACTGTGTAGGAGGCGCTGGGAAGAGGGGGAGGCCTAAGGATGGTGTGCGCTGGGGGGGAGTGTTGAAACTAAGTGGGAAGGAGGCAGTACAGGGGTGGTGAGAGGAAGAGGAGGTGTAGGAGGTTTGGTGGGAAGGAGCAGAGTGAGGGAAGGCATAGGGTGGAGCGAGGTGGGAAGAGGAGAGGTGGGGCCACAGAGGAAGGGATGGAGTGGGGTAGAGTCTGAGCCTGGGACACAGTAGGAGCTGAGTACGCCTGAAGCAAGGAGGAAGCCGACACATGTGACCACCCTAGTCGACAAGAAGTCAAACACAGTCCCCTTTAGGAATTCCAGCCCTTGGCTTTGACTGGCTAACTAAGTCTGATCTAGTGAGAGGTTATTGAAAACCTTTTCCACCAGGGTTCTTACTGATCCCAAAAGCTCAAAGACTCCCAGATCAGTATGTATCTTAATAGATCTTTGCGGTCATTTGTGTGTATATGTTCTGTCAGGTTTGTAGCAGTCATGGAATAGACTGGTGGCTTGTGAAGTGTTTCTGGTGACTTCCAAAAGGTTGGAACATTCCTCAGTCCATTGTTCAAAATGCTTCTCTTAATTGTGAATCCACAGTCCAGGGAACTGGAGCAGGAAAGAGGCAAAAGAGATGCCACAGATCTTATATTGACTTACATTTACTGCCCAGAGCACCCACACCTGCATGAGCAAGGTTACTGGCCCAAGCTGGAATTCAGGGTCACATGAGCATATTGCATGCCTTTACATGTTTTGCTGAATTATGTTGTCATTGAGCTATCTGGACAGGATGAATTTCTTCCATGTCCCATTGAAAAAGTAGAGTGTCCTTGGTAGGTCATCAATACATAACTGTCTAGCCCAATGTAAATTTTATTTGTGGGGTATCACCCAGGAATACGACACGTGTTTAAGATGCATGTACATAGCCAATATGCATAACTTTAGGTGCAGAATTGATGCATGCAGAGAAACCAGATAAGTATACTTAGCAATATCTGCATGGAGCAAAATATTTAATAACAGGCTCTTCAATATAGCAGAGAAAGGTAAAACATCCAGTGGCTAGAATTTGAAGCTGTACACATTCAGGGTAGAAATAGTATCAATTTATAACGGAGAGAAATTAAGCATTGGAACAATTTACCAAGGGTTGTGGTGGATTTTCTGTCACTGACCATTTTAAAATTAAGATTGCATATGTTCCTAAAAGCTCTGTTCTAGGAATTTTGTGGAATGTCTTTGGGCTATGTTGTAAAGAAAGTCAGGCTAGATTAGAAGTGGCCAAATTTACTGACTCTCTGAGCTGCAGATGATGATCTTCAGAAGTTTGAGCCCCGGGTGGATGGCAAGCGCAGGGTGGAAGATCCAGGCCCTGCCAAGCACCTCCCATGATTCTGAAGCTCCTAGGCTCTTACACATTGGGCAGTCCCACCATCCTGCTGCAAGGCAGAAGTCCCAATCCTCCCCTCTGGTAGGTGGAGAACAGGGAGATCCGGAGGGCTCTATGAGCTACACTTCAACTGTAAAAGAGCCAAACTGCAGTTTGGCCACCCTTGGACTAAGTGATCACAATGGTCCCCTTATGGCCCCAGAATCTGTTAATCTATGAAAAACAAAGGGCTGGGCAACAGCCAGTCTGTAGAACTTCTCTGTCATTCTGTAGAATTGAGGCTTTGTGCATAACAGTTTAAATCGCAGCTGCGGTAGTGGCGCAGTGGCAGTGCTTTAAATGGAAAGCGTGGCCAGGGCATGGGTGCTGGGGGAGAGATCTCCCTGTGCTCTATGTAAACCATCTCTGAGATGGTGCTGTAACTTACTGCACACGTACGTGTGTGTGTGTGTGTGTGTGTGTGTGTTTTCACACCTCTGAGCCAGAAAGTCACAGCACTGTAAAGTGCCAGTGTAGACTTGGCCTAAGTCTATGTTTACGCTACAGCCTCTGTCAGCATAATTTATGTTGCTTGGGGTGTGAATAAACCACAGCGACAACAGGTGCTTTTATTCCCAGTGCTGTGTCTGTGGCATGGCTTCTTCTAGTGGCAGAGCTTCTGCTGTTTGTGGAAATTGTTTTATTATGCCATTAAAAAAGCTGTCTTCCATCAGCATAGAGCAGGGGTCCCCAATGCGGTGCCCCTGGGCTCCATGGTGCCCATTGTGGAAATTGTTTTATTATGCCATTAAAAAAGCTCTCTTCCATCAGCATAGAGCAGGGGTCCCCAATGCGTTGCCCCTGGGCTCCATGGCGCCCGTCGGGGCATTTATGTGCACCCGCCTGGTGACCAGGGCCAGCCCGAGCCATTCTTGTGCCCTGCGCACCCGGTGCCCAGCACGTGCGTGGCCCCAATCCCAGATGCCCAGCAGCCCCAAAAAGTTGCGGACCACTGGCATAGAGCATCTTCACCAGACCTTCTGCACCAGTGCAGCTACTTCGGTAGCTGGTAAGACAATACCAACCTCTTGAGGTGCTGAGGGTTAACTAGTTAATGTTTATATAAAAATCTATGTAAGTACTACTTGCGATATTATGTACTACTGTATTAAAATTGTCACTAGTGGACTTGAGGCCAAATTGAAAAGGAAAAGCATTGTGCGTGCCCTCTCTATGTGATTGACCTTAATAGGAAATTCCGTCCTGTTAGAACTTAGTACCATTGATCAATACAAGGCTCGTTTAGTAACCTATAAGCCCTTCATAAGTAGGGTTCTATTTGATATCTGAATTTTTTCCAAAAATAAAAAAAATCAATAAATGTTAATTTTTAAATAACATTTTCAAACATACAGATTCTTCTGTAAACTACACTGTATGGGCATGTCTAAACTACTTTTTTTTCAAAAGAGCATATGCAAATTCTATCTTTTTGAGGATCTTTCAAAAGTGAAAGTAGTCTGGACTTGTTTTCCTGGAAAAAAAAACAAAAAAAAAAACCCACCCTTTTTTTGGGGGGGTCAAAAGTGAAAGTAGTCTGGACTTGTTTTCCTGAAGAGAGAGGAAAAAAAAAAAACACACCCTTTTTTGGGGGGGAAAACCCTGCGTAAACTTCATTTTTTTTTTTTTTAAGGAAGAGCAGTTTTTTTAAAGGGTTTTTTTAATGGGGAAAAAAAATGCATCCAGACTTTCACTTTTGAAAGATCTTCTTTCAAAAGTGAGATCGGAA